TAACCTGTTGCAGGCTGTGACTGGCGCCCGGCGTACGTCCGCCACAAAGGCAAAGCCTGCCACTAAAACGGCTAGACGTACATCGCTGTTATCAGGCGCAGCCAAGGCGGCTTCGAGCTCGCGAAGCGCAAGAGTACGCAATTTACCTCGCTTACCAATATTCTACGCTGACACGCTAGTATTGTAGGCTGCCAGGAGAGCATAGAACGTTACGGATCCGCCCTCGACTGAGTGCGTATCGTCGTATCATTTATGATGTACATACTTCTATTTTCCATCTTGTCTGCCCGTGTCTGCGTCGTTTATGTGTATTCTTCCTGCGCGACTACTATACCTTACAGCGCAGCGGTTCCGTTGTGTCCCTAGTATCCTATGTATGATGTACACGCGTAGTGCTCAGAAGATCTTCCTGGTGTAGTGGTATGTGGTAGTGAGGCTCGATGGCCAGATGCAGAGCGCTCAACTTCAGTGTTCATCTTCCTACCGTACCTTTTTTTCTCTTTGTAAGTTATGGACGACGTAGTATTTGTAGGAAAAGATTTAAGACGCTAGCAATTTACTTTGCCTGATCGTGATCATGAATTAGGATGGACCTACATCGAAGATTTGGTAATTCGCGGAGTATTCACGGAAGTGGGTATCAAGTTCGAGGCATGTGGGATCTTATGATACCCCCATTAAGAGAGGCGAAGTAAAGCAGAGCAGCAGTAGGATCCGGAATGTATCAGTCTAGCACGCTGGGGTCTCGCGGCGTACACCCATCAGGAAACTTACTGGCACAGTAGAAGCTGGCTAGTACGCTATGGGCGACGATTGCGCGGCATGCACGTCATCCAGGAGGACTGCTGAATAAAATACACCGCACAACCACGTCGGAACGTGCTAGCCCGCCACTGCACACAAGCGACTCACATTTGGGGTATGCAGCCCTCACCTTTCCGACTGATAACCCACCTTCGTGCTCTTGGAGCTCATGTTCAATATAGTATCTGTCTGGACAGACAGCTGCAGATCTGCCCGCCCGGGTGGGCTGTCATGAGCACCCCCCTAGGTGAGACCCGACAAAGCCCTACCTGACGTTATCCAGCGATCCAGGTATGACGGAACCCTTTGTAGTCACGTACCTTTGCGTTTCACAATGGACAGTATTAGAGCTGCATAGAGGCGGTCGTGGCAGAATAATTTAATAGTAGTATATGTGTCAATAGTTAAGCGGATGCGTAGTATAAACACAACCCACAGCGTTCACAGCCCACCACCTCGCATGGAAGTCCGACAGTATAGCGGGCTCAAGCTCTGCCCGAGGTGATCCCGTACGATGGTCGTCGGTGCGCTGAACCCTGCTCCGAGGCTTTCTCACAGGAGAAAGAATGATAGTACACATGTACAACCTGTACAAAGATCATCACATGAAATCAGGTATAGATAGGAAATGATAACTCACGTCCGTGGCGCACACGGCAAGAGCACCATCTGGTACTTTAAAGCATATCCGCGCATGCGCAAAAACGCTGCGAACACCTTTATCACACATCATAACGATCTTCGTCGAATCCATGACCTCCTGGTGACAATGGTCTCCATTCCTCCACAATCTCTCCGTCATTGCCGACTGGAGCGTCACCATACTGAGCTCCTTCACTATCGGAGTTCTCGCTTTCGTCAGTCTCTTCGTTGATATTATATGATGGATCGAGAAGCTTTTGGAGAGCATCCATGTTGATCCTCTTGGTACCTCCAGGCTTGCTCTGCGCAAAGGCTTCACACTCTTCGTTGTTCTGTTTGCTCCTCTTTCTTTTCCGCGCTCTTGGTCCATCGTCAGAGCTGGTTGCATCGACCTCTTCGTCGTCATCCCAATCCATTGTGGTCCGAAGAATGGCCACCTCCTCATCGGTTCTGAACAAGTTCTCCAACTCCCCCTCGTCGAATAATTCTTCATCTGGAATGTTGAATTCTTCTGCCCCGCCTCGCGATGTAGCCAGCATTTGCAATCGGGTGGGTGCGCGGGAAAACGCATGCGAGAGGTTGAATGCATCCGCGGTGAGCAGGTGTGTGAGCAGATCTGACGTGTCGCCGTCGCTCGCGCGCGAGGACGAGCATGTTGGCCCAGTAGAACCGGAATTGAGCAAGAACTGGGATGCGGTGGCAACCGACCGTTCGTGTACTGTCTTCCGCTTCTTTCGAGGCGGGGCAGAGAGGATGACGTCGTCTTGTTTAGCAACTGGAAGGGATCTGAGCAACGTACCAGCATCGTTTCCTTCCAAGACGTGAAGAACACCCCTACTCGCGTCCCCGTCACGCTCGCGTTCGTCATCAGTGGCTTCATTCTCGTCTATCTCCAGTTCAAGATGGAGTCGCGTTTGCCCGTCAAGCTTCTTTCTCCAGATCTCTTCTTGGAATTGCACGACATCCTTTAAGCCTCTGGACACTACGACTCGCTTGGCGATTTTAGACCTTCCTGTCCCACCCTTCTTACGCTCATGCGCTTCTAGCCAGGGGACTTCTCGGATCCAGTTCTCCAGCAGGTCATAAATCGCCTTGTAACGGTGCATGACAGTACCTTTGCTTATGCTGAACCGCGCGCCAAGTGTTTGCGCAAGAGCTCCAGCGTGTGGCAGTGACGACAATAGTTCCCCCTCTAGGGAAAGCATTAATATAGCGCAGGCTGTCGGAGGCGAAGGGACGTTCGAGAGAATATTTGTGCGAGACACTAGAGTGGAAAGAGAAGAGGAAATTTGCATGACCGTTGGGATGCGAGGTATTAGTTGATTAAGTACCGTCCTCAGCTTGACGGGCAAAGTAGAAGACGCGTCCTGTGCGAGCGAGAGAAGATGAGCCCGTAATGTCGGGAGATGCACGGATGGGTCTGCAGATATAAGACGTAGTTGCAATAGTGCAACAATGGAGGTTAATGTACGAGATACCGCCACAGAGGGCTCGTCAAGAACATACTGTAAGATGTAGAATACATGTCAACGCGGTGACGCCTAGCGTAAACAGAATCCAAACTCACCGCGATATCAGAAATTGAATCGCTCTTACGCGACTCACGAAAAGCGATGGATATAGCTGCGCCAGCCACTAGTTTAGCCTTCCGACCCCACCGGAATTGGCCTCGCCTCATAGCTTGGTCAAACAGACCCTGAGCACGAACTGCTGTTCCAGGGCTGCAAAGCCTCGCAGCAAGCGAGCGAATAAATTCGTGCATCACAATCTACACATGATTCTAGGACTTCAGCGGACAGTAATATTAAAATATTATAGCTGGGCGCACCGTATTTGCTCGGTCTCTGGCCTCTTTTCCCTGTCCAGACAACGCCCATCCATTCCTACCTTTCAATGTGCCACCCGGGAGCGTAGTCCAATGCAAATCGCGGGTCGAATTCTCTGTGGGCTCCAAATGGGAAGTGAGAACGCTTTGCGTCGGGTCCGCAAGGGTCCCGCAGTGTGTACATATTGCAGAGCCAAGGTCTGATTCCCATACAGTATCTTCTCCACACTCCTCACATCTTCCGCTCATCCAGGCGGCCTGTCGGAGGTCTCAGAGCTCGGAGATGGTCGGTAGGTCTCAGGACTAGAGGTCGCGGCGAGCTACAGAGGAGTGGGCGTGACACTGCAACAGAACGCGTCCGTCACGCGTTTCATCGTGCAAGTCACGGTGGCTTCACTCTGATCAGGTAAGGCGGCCCGGTTATTATAGCCGGCATGCAAGATAACGCACTCTCATCTTGCTCTCATCCCTATGCTGCTGCCTTTTCAGAGTCTCTTCTTCGCGACTTGCTTGTGCTTTCATGCGTACGCGTCCCAGCAACATCTGCTTTCGCAACCCCATCGTCACCCGGACCGTCCTGACAATCTCACCGCCCCGTTCATTTTCAACTCACTAGCGTCTCTCCTCATCCAATGGCCTAATACATACCACGGAAATGGGCATACGATTATCCCAGGTATCATTAAACCATACACCCTCCTGTATCATGCACGTAAAGATGCAAACCTCCCTCCGTCTCCGGAATGGTTCGCCTTTGACCCAGAGATGAGCTTTGGCATCATGGGCGGACGCGGAGGGAGTACCTTCATGTCTACCTATAGAACCGTTCGTCCTGCTAGAGTTGTCTATTTTGATGGCATGAGCGCGGCTTTGAGTGACTTGGGATGGCTCGATAGCCAGGAGGTTTTCCTTGCCGGGAGAGGTAGGGCTAACGAGTCGGACCAGTATCCATCTCGAGATGAATACACCCGTATAACCAAGCTCTGCAAATGGGCGGAGACAGTCGACCTGGACGGCTTCGTGCGTATGAATGCCGGCTTGTGAGACTTTCATTACATAGTCGCGCTTTTGGCGTACTAATGTTTCTCGACGTGTAGCGAAGTTATGTGGTGTGATTTCGACTCGCCTGTCATTCAACTCGTGAGTCATCTGAATATCACGGCTCCTGGTAGTACCCCTACCTCTGGCCGGGACATGCCTCCGCCAGGAGGAGGAAGAACACCAGGCAAAGACGCACCTGACCGACCTACAAGGGGCCGACCAGGCGGAAGCAGGCCTCCATTTAACTTTGGCTGGTCGCCTCTCGGGGCAACGGGCTTCTCTGAATGGCTCCGTGTCGCAGCACAGCGCGGTACAATTCCACAGCCTCATGTTGAGCTCGATTATTCCTCGTTTGTCACATTCTATCACCCTCGCCTCCAAAGTCTTGTCAAGGCGCGCGAGGGTCAAAGTGTGCGGCAGCACCGTATCTGGAATAACATTTCTACCGCAGACGCGCAATCAATAAGGGATGAGGTAGAAGAGACACTGCAACGCCCACCCTGGCGCCGAGGTGGCAGCGGTATGGACTGGGGCGCGCTCGCGCGAAACGTCGTGGAAGAGTGGGCAAGCCGGATTATACAGCTTCACGAATTTATTGGGAATACTTCAACCGCTCTGCGAGAGCAGACGCCTTTGAACACAACTCAAGCCGTTATTGCATTGCGCCGCTTGACGTATTCACCGCTGAATCCGTTCATGGACACTGGCGCACCCAATTCGACTGCTCACGACTGGGTCTATAGTCCGGGTGCGTCTCTGGTAGATAACGTTTTCCTCTTCCCTCCGCGGCACCCACTCCCCTCAGTATCTATGAACTCATCGGCTCTACAGCGGTGTGTGTACTCTGCCACAGGGTTCCTCCACGATCCGCGCATACATAAGACACCGCAGGAGGTACTTCTGCAGACGAGTATTGAGACGGTCTTAGAGCGACTTTGCGGGGACTATGCGGCATTATTTGTTGAGAGCATGGATGTTGATGACCGCATCTCGTCGCAAGACTTGTCGAGACTGATAAATTTATGGGGAGCACGTGTAGATCTCCTCATGCAGTGGTTGGACTGGACAGAGTGGCACCGATGTACTGAAGTTTGCCCCTTGGACGTATGTGCATTTATTTTGTCTATAGGGTGCAGAGGCTGACGTTGCACTGGGTTCAGAGCATATGCAGTATGCCTATGTGGCCACTGAGCGGTTTTAGGCGGGGACCACGAGGCGAACCTGGTGACGGGGGCGCAGAGGAACCAGAGGACGCGTGGAAGCCACGGTGTTTGAGCTTACTACCCGACCGTGGACCGTTTTCTTCATTTGTCGATGCTTGGGGCAGCGGAGACTTCTGAAACGGCAGCACTATTCCAGATACTTGTAGCGATTTCGAGTAAGCGACGTTCTGAGGCAGTGGGCAATGTAACGGTTACATAGATGCGCATGGTACAAATGTCTGTAAAAGATTTTACGGTTTCCCTGGTATCTTGATGTATCGTAGTGCGGTTGACGATATTATGAACGGGATGTTGATCATACATTCCAAGTACAATGATAGTTCATATTTCGTGACATTTATCAGGGAATTGTGTTCCAGAATCCAGTGTTCCACATGTCTATGTCCACTGCTAAAGCCGCATCGGTCCGAGTCTTAGCGGTGGCAAGAGCGCAACAATATGCACAAATACTGCACTGGACGCTCGTTGCCGGCTGCTTGGCGTCATTCATCGTCACTCGCCGGAGCAGCAGCGTGCAAGTTTCCGAGCCCTACATGCTCATCCGACAACCATATCTCTGATTTCGTCTCAATTTTTGCCTGGCTCCAATTTATCGTATTTGATGTCTTTATGGCTCCCCAAACCGTCCCCGTCTTTACTTGCACGCAGTTATAGTCGCCAAAACTACCTCGTAACTCTTCGTGTGCTTGCGGGAGCAAGTCAAACCCACCGCGCTCATCCTGTTCCTCTCCCGCTCGGCAGACGCTATGAGAGTACAAAACCCATCCCCGAGAGCGTGCGGAAAGTGTCGACCGATGCTCAGGTCACCGCCGAGCCGAAACCTACACCCCCGACACCTAAGGACGCTGTAGAGACGGCTCCGCTGGCGACGCGGGTATGGAAAAAGGTGAAGCACGAGGCCCAACACTATTGGCATGGTAGCAAGCTGCTCGGGGCGGAAGTGCGGATCTCCTCGAGGCTGCTCTGGAAAATCCTGCATGGCGAGAGCCTGACGAGGAGGGAACGGAGGCAGGTATGTCGGCATTTATTTTTGTTGGTTCACTCGGTAGATAAAATCACTGTTTGCTTTCATAGTTGAAGCGCACGACGCAGGACCTTTTGCGACTTATCCCTTTTGCAGTTTTCATCATCGTGCCATTCATGGAACTTTTGATACCGGTTGTCCTCAAACTGTTTCCGAACATGTTGCCTTCCACGTTCGAAGACAAGTTTGCAGCTGTAAGTGCACGCCATTGTCTAGGCACACAATCATTAACTCTTCCGGCGTTTTTCAGGAAGAGAAGCAACGCAGACTTTTGCGTGTCAGGCTCGACATGGCCAAGTTCTTGCAAGAGACTCTGCGCGAATCTGGTTTGAAGGCCAACGTGCATATAGTCGGAAGTGACGCATTCAAGGAGTTTTTCCGCAAAGTAAGTCGTTTCCACTCTACCCTGCTTTACTACTGACATGGCCACAGGTTCGGTCAACGGGAGAGTCCCCTTCCGCTACGGATATCATCAACGTTGCACGCCTGTTCGATGACGATCTTACACTCGACAATCTGTCGCGTCCACAACTAGTGTCCATGTGCCGCTACATGGGCATTAACGCTTTCGGTACCGACAACTTCTTGCGCGGGACCATTCGGACACGACTGCTTGAGCTGCGCCGGGACGACCAGCTGATCGACATGGAGGGCACGGACAATCTCAGCACTTCGGAGCTCCAAGCGGCCTGTCAGAGCCGTGGCATCCGAACCGGCGGTGTGTCTCCTGCGCGCTTGCGGGAGGAAATATTGACATGGATCAATCTGCACCTGCACAACCGGGTCAGCGGCGTATTACTCGTTCTTGCTCGGGCCTTCCAGTTCGTGAAGAAGCCCGGCGAGGATGAGGACGGCAAGACGGCCATTATCAAAAGCCTCGAGAGCGTCTTGAGTGGCTTGCCAGACAATCTGGTGAGTTTCGCGGCGACGTGGTTGCTGCAGCTCATCTGACGGAGCCGGTTATAGCTTAACGAAGCAGAGCTAGAGGTCGACTCTGACAAGGCGAGCTATAAGCAGAAACTGGAAGTTTTGCAGCAACAGGAAGAACTCATTGAGGATGAAGAGGAGCAGGAGCAGAAGGAAGAGGACGCACGGCGGGCGAAGAAGGAGGAGGAAGCGCGTATGGCCGAGTCCCTTTTACCCGAATCGGAGCTGGAGCCCGAGCATATTGAAGAGAGCGATGCTCGCATGACAACGGAACAGCTAAAGGAGCTCGGAGAAGCGCTCTCGATTCTCTCTGCAAAATCCAGCGTGTTGAAGGAGCGCGATGAGCTGCGCGCTCTCATGGAGGAGAATATGCAAACTGACGAGGAGGAGGTACGTATCCGGCTATGGCTATAGGCATCGTTTGTTGATATCGTGTCGCGCAGGATTCGAAATCGCCCTCCGCTGCTCTGACGAAGCGCATCCGCTCAATGCTTACGAAAATCGACCAGCAGCTCTCTGATTACGATGCGCGTGTCGGCTCTTCGCTACAGATGATCTCGTGCGATTCGCAGGGCCGAATCTCCGTACAAGACCTGGAGAAGGCGCTGGCCGTCATCAAGCACAAGCCTGATGAGGAAGTCGGACACAGGGTGATTGAGAAGCTTGATGTCGACAAGGATGGATTCGTTGAGCTGGAACATGTTCTTGGTCTGGTTAGAGAGGAGGGTCTGGGTGAGTACTCGAATTGTGCAGCAATGCGTCCGTACTTACGCTTCTTTTAGGCACAGTTCTTGATGACGAAGCCCAATCCATCATCGGACAGGGTGACGAGCTCAAGAAGAGCAAGCCGCGGAAGGAGGATATAGTCCAGGAGTGATTGTAGTAATTTACATTCATCTTATACATCATATTCTACGCACGTTGCCTCTAATGATATAGCTCTGCTCTTGCATTCTTGTCTGGTACTGGGAATGTATTATGGAAATAGTGGCTGATGACCGCGGTGAAGTATCATTTTCTGTGTCTTCCTGTTTCGAAAGAACTTGTGTTTGGACATGCGAAGAAAGTAAATACTGCATTCAAACAGGGGCGAGCCTGACGAATGTCATCTTCTCCGAGTCTCACGGTCCTCCCACCTGTCGAAGCCTTAGAACATGGCCAGTGGCAGTTTCTCCCAAATCGTGTAACAGTATCGCCGGTCGCGATCTATAGGCTTGTGGTAGCGTTGGCTCGCCTAATACACTACGACGGCAAGACTGTTCCATCCATTTGTTCCTCGTTTTCCCTCAGCGTTTCCTTTGCTTTGCCACCGTGCCACCATTCTACCTTGCCCAATTAGGATAGTGCGTCCTGATCCCGCGGCGCAGTCGCCAGACAACCATCGCCTCCTCCTCCTCATTCCTCTCTTCTGCCTACTATTCCCTTCGTAAGTCTCTGTACGAGACCGGTCTCGACGCTAAACAAGCCTCTCTAGCCATGTCTTCAGGCGGTCTGCACTCGCTTGCTACCATCATCAAACGGCGAGTCGTCTGCCCACCACGCGTATATCTAATCTTCAGCTGAATGTTCCCCAGGCTGGAAGCCGCAACCTCGCGGCTCGAGGACCTCGCAAATCTTCCCCCGCCAAGTCTCGTCGCCGGACTTCAGGGTGCTGCCATTCCCTCTGCTTCCTCCGAGCCCACGCCCGTCCCGCCTCCGCTTCCACCGTCTGCCTCACAGGTTCCGCTTCCACCTCCGCCCCCATCTGCACCTCTCCACGTCGAGACTCCGAGGACTGTCCAGGCATTTGATGATATTATCATCGACGGCCAGCTCAAGCCTTTCCTCGAGCTTACCCGCAGTTTCGCCTCCGCATCCGTCGTCGAGCAGGTATGTCCCTCCTCTCTCCTCCGCACGCGTCGCATTCAGACGCTCGTTTTCGCGCGCGCAGACAGCGATTCTCGAGAAGGAATTTGCTGACCTTCGAGCCTTCCTCCTTCTCACCACGAGCTGCAGCAAGCCCGATCAGTCTGTCTTCGCCGCCCTCCTCGCCCCGCTCCAGAAGGACATCGAGGACATCACCCGCGCAAAGGAGTCCAATCGCAAGGACCGCGACTGGTTCAACCACCTCTCCATGGTCGCCGAGGGCGCTACCTGTGCCGGCTGGGTCACTGTGGTGCGTGCTATCTCATCTGGCTGCCGCGCCTGCTGATCTTCGTCGCACCTGCTTAGGAGCCCAAACCTGGTCCATTTGTTGCAGAAATCAAGGACTCGGCGCAGTTTTACGGGAACCGCGTCATCAAAGAGTTCAAGGAAAAGTATGTCTCCGCGATTCCTCTGCCTCTGCCGCTTACACTCCCCTTCTCGCAGGGACGCACGACACGCCGAATGGGTCAGAGGTTGCGCTGCCCTCCTCGAAGCGCTACGGAAGTATATCATGGACTATTATACTACCGGGCTCGTGTGGAACGCGAAGGTGTGCCTGGCTGCTTGTCTCCCCGCCCGCTGCTGACCCTCTTCCGCGCGCAGGGCATCTCTGTAGAGCAGTACCAGGCATCAGCTCCGGCGTCGGGGCCCAGTAGTGCGTCCATTCCGCCCCCGCCTCCACCGCCTCCGCCCGTTGTTCCGCCCCCAGCTGCCGCCACCGCCCCCGCTGCGGGCGGCGTCGCGGCGGTGTTTGCAGAGCTAAATCGCGGTGAGGACGTCACAAAGGGCCTGCGCAAAGTCAGCAAGAGTGAGATGACGCATAAGAACCCCGCGCTCCGGGCGAGCAGCACCGTTCCGGGTGCGGTGGGGTCATCCAGCGCTGCGGTGGGAGTGGGTAAGAAGCCGCTTAAGCCGAGCAAGCCGCAGGCACTTGCAGGAAAGAAGCCGGCCAAGTTTGCGCTTGAGGGGAACAAGTGGGTGATCGTGAGTCGTCGTTATGCGGTGCTGGCTGCGCCGCAGGGCGCTGATGCGGTGCGCCGTTGCAGGAGTACCAAGAGAACGAGTCCGCGCTAGCGGTGGAGAACGTCGAGCTGAGCCAGACGGTGAACCTGTACGGCTGCAAGAGCTCAACGGTTATCATCAAGGGCAAGGTCAACGCCGTCACGATGGGTGAGTCCCCCTCCTTCGAGCGGTGCTCCCGCCTGACCCGCGCTGCGCAGTGAACTGCACGAAGACGTCCGTGCTCGTTGAGAACGTGATCTCGGCAGTGTCTGTCACGAACTCGCCGTCGTTCGCGCTGCAGATCACGGGCTCGGCGCCGACGATTCAACTCGACTCGACGGACTCGGGCCAGATCTACCTCTCGCGCGCGTGCCTCGGTGTGGAGATCACCACCGCCAAGTGCAGCGCGATCAACGTCAGCCTCCCCGTCGAGGGCGAAGAGGATGGCGTGTTCGATGAGCACCCTGTTCCCGAGATGTTCAGGACGACGATCGAGAGCGGGAAGCTCGTCACGAGTGCTGTCGAGCATGCGGGCTAGGGTGGCGGCCCATCGGGCTGGGCGCAGCGGTGTGCGCAGTGGGACTATCGCGTAGGTATCTTAGAACTGGCAGTCATTGTGGATGGGTCTGGGTGTTCCTGCTTGCTCGCACTCACAATTAAATTACGTTCAGGTTACAATCACTAACTCAAGTGTGCTGTGGAGTGATTTGAAACTGTGAGTGAAATGTTTGAGCAGTCCTTTGGAACGTGGGCCAGTGAGTGTGTGGCTGGTGAGTGGCTGATTGATAAGACGACACAGAAGGGTGTCTTCTCTAGCTGTCATGTTAGAAATGAGACTGCCATGGGCTAACCCCCTCTTATCCTACTGCACACATTCTATGTCTTCCATGCAGAAGCTCACAAAGCAGGTGGGCTCCCTGACAAAGCCTGTTCGAATTGACTACTTAGTTCGTGTTTGAATAACGGAAAGGTGTTCCAGTTGTGGGCAATGCCAGAACATCATTGATGATGTGGTCCATGGTCGGTGGAGCCCGCCCGCGAGTAGTCGAACGTCATAGGAACACATATGATTGGGACCCCTATATTGATGAGTCCGAGATCAGTCAATGCGGATTCCGAAGGTAAGGAGCTTTTTCGGAGGCCTCCGCGGCAATTCGAATCACCTCACCCAATGTGCGCATAAGCTCACATTGGGCTTAGGACGGCATCGCCGTACTCCTACAAGTCATCGCTCTCTGCTCGCCCGAGTCTACCACTGCCAGCGTTCTCCGTCGTCGACTTCAACCCCATCAAGGAACGCTGGTGCGGCTAAGTGAGTCCGGCATCGCCGTCTCCTGTGAAGACTAAGTTCCTTACAACAGCGTTTACGTGCAGAATTCGTGGACTTTTATTCGCTCTTTTCATCCATCCCAGCTCGAGCAGCACACAAAGCCCGGTAAGTACGAATTTCACAGTCGCGCTTCAAGTCTGACTAACTGCTTTGTTATTCTTAGGATTGGATCCTGAGACCAAGGTGAAGAACAAGACCAAGGCGGGGAACTTAAAACGGAACATAACGATATCAGTCTGTGTTGCAGAAGTCAGATCAGAAGTGGAACAAAGGAAGATGAGGGAAGTCTATTGAGCCGGGCAGCAAGACTGCGAGAGATTATGATACGCCGTTTTGAGGAGGTGCGTACTGATACCAGGATATTTGACTTACACTGCATAATGATGAACTGCCACTGGAAGGACTTGGCAGCATTCACCACAGAAATTCGACAGAGCAACGCCGAGCTTTACGCGGAATTGCACCAGATCACTGCAAGGGCCGACAAACTCTACGCAGAATTTGTAGGACCAGTTCAGCGCCAGCTTTCTCGTGACGCTTTCCGACAATACCTCCTTACGGTACTCGGCATTTCGGATCCATACTGCTCTCAGCAGTGGACTTTGCTACAAGCTGAAATGGATCACGCACAATTCAAAACGCACTTAAAGAATGAGCTGCCAAAAATTCCGCTCGAAAATCCGATTACAGATAAAGATCTTGACTATACATGTTCAGAGGACTACTTTGCTAGCAGCTTCACACATCATGCCTCTTTGGAAGAGAAGTTGAAGGAGGCTATTGACCTTACTCCCTCTGGAGAGGAACAGCAGCAAATGGAGCAGTTGTATTATAAATTCTTGCATAAGCATGAATGGCCCTAGAACTCTTTTTCAAGAGCCTCATCACATTTATATCATACTACACTCTATTGTAATATGCATGCAGTCCAGCACATGATCAGACAATAAGTTGACTGTCTGTATATGACACATTCAGCTCACCCATCAAGAGCACAAAACATACTATAGCATATGGGGCTTCTCATCAAGTAGGAATACCCTGCAAACGGTAGTGTTGAGATTCAAGTCCAAGCAAAATTGGTATTGCCAAGTGCAGAGTGGTCAATGGGCAGTCATTCAAATCTGTGCAACATACTCTCTGAGCTCTTCAACAGGTCTAGCAGCCCCCGTTGAGTTGTTGATACACTCAGAGAGTAGCCTGGTGAGTTTGCGGAATCTGAATTCATGAATCAGCAGTATTCAAGAGTCACAAGTATCAGCCACTCACCTGTTCTGCCTCACACGCCGCGTGATAGCAGCCCGCAGAACCTGCGCCCTCTCCGACGCCACTTGAAGCAGCTGTTCCGGCAGGCCAGCGAGGCGTCCGCACTCCACTCCGAACGACTCCTCCGTCAGGCCGTGGGTCAGCGTGTACAAAAACGTCACTTCGCGCGTTCCGTCGATCCGCGTGTCCTCAGCGAAGCCCATGTGCAGGTTCCCGACGTCCAGAGGGAACCTGCGCTCCAAGTCCGTGGCGAGCCGAGGGTAATGAGTGATGAACAAGGTTCGACATCGAGTCTTCTCAATGAGGTGCTGCAGCACGGCGCTGGCGATTGCCATCTGCGGTTCCGACGAATCAAGCGGCGATTCACGCTGCAGGCAGAGAGAAACTTACACCGTCAAACGTGGCAGTGCCTCTGCCAAGCTCATCGAGAATGACGAGCGTTCTTGGCGTGGCCAGCTGCAGGATGTCGCTCGTCTGTTGCATCTCGACCATGAACGTCGATCGACCCCGCGCGAGCTCGTCAGAGGCTGTGTAGAAACATGAACATCAGGATCGCTGCGACCGGAAAAACCACTTGCCTCCCATCCTAGTCAAGACACCGTCTAGAAGCCCAATTTTCATAGATTGGGCCGGGACGTACGAGCCAATTTGCGCCATCTGGAAAGCGGTCAACATTCGCTCGCAAAGCACTGCACGAACATACGATAGCACAGAGAGCAATCATCCGAACAGCAGAGCTCTTCCCGCCCATGTTCGGACCCGTGATAATCCTGCTCCTTGGTTGCGCGCCGCCCATGTACACCGAGTTTGGCACGAACGGGTCGGATCGGAGCACTTCTATCATGGGGTGCCGTCCCTCAACAATCTCCAGTGTGTCGTCCGCTGTGATCTCCGGCTTCACATAGCCCTCCTGCAGCGCGACGCGAGCCAGACTCATCAGGCAGTCGGCGACAGCTAGCTTGTTAACAGCGTCGCGCAACACCGCATAATGCTTCCGTGAGATCTCCTGTAGAAAGGACAGGTAGGCTTTGTTAGCCTCCATATTAAGGGCCTCCTTTAATCGAGCGCGATGTTCGAGCTTTTTCTTAACTTCGGGGGTGTGGTATCTCCTCATAATCTTTGTACTAACGGAGTGAAAACCGGTTAGGATGCAGTAACATATTGTTTATGATGGACTGACCTGGAGACCAGAAACCATGTCACAGGGATTTCGCGGTTTTCATCTTTTCGTATCTCCACGAGATACTACGAATATGTCAACAATTTTGCTCATAAAGACATGTTTTATAAATACCTCCTCTCCATTCCACGTTCCGTACATCAGAGCAGGCTTCTTGATCCGTCTGCGAACTGAAATTAATCAGCATATTTCGGATGTCAGCTTCGAACAACTACAGACTATTTTTCAGCTCGTCCATTAATTCCGACTCTACAATCTGTATTGACTAAAACCGCGGCGATGTCAGGTCAGTCATCTGTGGCTCACTAATGACATACCACGGTAATACTGTCAATTTCAGGGTATTTGTCCGGGTCGGCCCACAAGGCTTCCTTTTTGCCTTCCTTTGCCATCTTTAGGGAGATACTGGCCATTAACTCATTCATAGGCTCCCTGAGGTTAGGGAGAGCAGCCACGATTTCGTTAAGTATCTTTGACTTGAAAGGCGCGTCATGCAGTCCATTGATCGGTTGGAATGCGGCAGCAATCTTACTGAATGCGGGAAGAAGAACGGCGAGCTCTTGAGGGGTACACTGTCAATCAATCTCAACACTCAATCATTATGCAAGTTCTGATGGAATACTTTTCCGTATTGTATACGACATAACCCTTTGGCAAGATCCGGAAGGCGTCGGAGCAGCTCACGGAGGTGAGTGAGCTTCGGCGTGCCATCCGCTAGGATTTCTTCGACAGCGCTAATCCTCTCCTTGAGGATTCTATAGAATGACAGCTCAGTCACCCGTGCAATGAACTTGTAAGCTTCAGCACACACTTCACGTTTGTCAGCGGTCGGCCGACCCAGCTTCTCAACATCCTTGCACCAAACTTCGTCGAAGTGTGATCGAGGATCCAGATAAGTGAGCCTTTCGTAGTGTAATCCGTCTCGTTACGATAAATTTCTCTTTGAACAATCTAATGAGTGTAGCCTCTCGCGAGTTGAAGGTGAGGACGAACAAATTAGTCAGAGTGTTCCCATTTAGTAGCATGTGCGTTCGTTCTGCAAATTTCGTAAAGAAGTTTGTCTCTACCAAGCAGTTTTCGATGTCAAAGTTTGCCAAGTACTTGATAGTGTACGCCAGAGCGGCAACTACAAGTTTTGGAAAGCCCGTCACGGCGGCCATAAGCTTCCCTAGATATCGGCCTACATTCAACGCCCACTCAAGTGAGGTGTAGAAGGACATACCAGTATTGTAACTGTCCGACGCGAAAGCAGATTTCGACTTGTCAGAGTAGAAGTCGGTCAGGTATGAAAATGCCTCTGTATAAGTCAGATCTTGTTTGAAACGCTCTACTCTAATCTGATGTTCTGCAGTAAGGGGATTTGGCTGTCTTAAATACCCATCAGGAGCTTCACGCTGGCAGCATCAAATGTCAACGTACTCAGTGAAGTAGACAAGTAGTTTTTCGCTTGGGTTACTCAAGCGGCCCTCAGGTAGAAGTAGTTCATACGGTTTCGAGTGAACCATGCGAGTCTGGACATTCGATCTCAGTATGATAAAATTCAAGCGGGACAAGACTCCCAAACCTCTAGTTCCGTACGCATGTGATTGTCTGAAAGACTCGCCAAGTCAATTCGATGTTCACGCGCACTACTGAGAATGGATACACATACCCTCGAATTCATCCCATACGACATCTCCTGTGCTTGGGCAAATAACAATCATGCCAATTTGCACACGTTCGTCAGCGCCCATGCCACCTTTTAATTCTTCGACCAGACACATAAGAGGGGGTGCTGTCGCCGGCTCAAGATCATCCGGGGAGTCCAATTCTTCTATATAGCTGGAACGCAGCGGTGAGAATCAGAACTGAAGGACGCGGACGCAACTTACGTTGCGGCGGTATACAAGTGAGTAAGCTTTCGAGTAAATAACACTTTCCGATTGTCGCCGACCTTCTTCAACGCCGCGGTTTCTGTTTGCTCTACGATACCGACCTTATATCCTTTGGAAAGGAGCCTGGAAGATTTGACTCAGCTCCAACGCCAAGGGAAATCAGTAAATTGCACTATTAACTTCTTCAGATGTACTTCTTGGCGATGTACTGGAATCATAGCGGCTGAAGAGAAATTCCGACTAGGGAAGCATACAAATCCCAGTTCTTTTCCAACGATCTAGTATGTTCGGATGAGTCCTCCATGATCGCGAGTATTGATCCGTACCTCTGCGTCTTCACCGAAGAAGTTCATCCTATAGCCAACCTCAACCATGAGTAAGGTTCCTGGGTGTTTGGCTTTGAGATCCAGAACCTTATTCCGATACATCAGCACATACAGTACATGCGCATTGAGACATGAAGCCACGCACTTGCAGTTCCAAGGGACTATACGGGAAGCCTCTAGGACCTATCTCGACTGCTTTCTTCTTAGCTACATTTCGGGATGTTTTCTTTGTCTTGCCTTTTTTGTCTGTGAATGTCTGAATGACTTCACGAAAGGGGCTGTCAGAGTCAGTACTTGAGGTCTCGTGAACATCCTCTGCGTTGCCGCCCTCTTCCACTTCGTCGGAGATGTCTACCGTCCCATCGGCAGGTACGTTCCTCGCAAAGAAGTCGGTTCGTCCAAGAAGAATCTTTGAAGCTCTCTCATGGTTTTTTCTCATCTCTGTTGCGGGTGCGCAAGGTGTCTGTGTCTGTGTATGCAAGCTACGATCAAACTGCCATTGTTTAGCGACACGAGCCAGATTCAAGCGTCCACTAGACGGCCCAGCCTCTGCACATCTATTTGGCCGATTCCTGGACTCAGAAAAGAAAGTACTCGTTGTGTTCTGCTTCTTTGCAACCGGAGTGGTGTCGTCATCAGAGTCGACAGTGAGGTCAATGTGAGCACTCGATCTTTTCTTCAAATTGATAGGTGACGGTGAAATAGTATCCTGAGAGAAGAAGGATGATATAGTGGCCTGCTTCTTGGGACTAGAAGATGACATTGCTGGAACAGCCGGTGGTGGTTGTGATCGACTTAGAGCCTGGTTCAGCCACTTCGAACTCGCACGTGCACGGGTTATGCACGTCGCGCGTCTGTTCACGTGCATCCCAAACGTGTCCTATGTAGCTCGTAGTATAGAGCGAATCACTACATATGTATCAAGGCCCGCCGGAGGGCTCAGGGTGGTCAAAGCATCGACTCGCCATGCAAGATAACGCACCCCCGCCCCCATGTTCCCACCCTTCTTCGCGACTTGCTTGTGGTTCCATGTGCACGCGTCCCACTGGCAGCATCTGCTTTAGCAGCCCCATCGTCATCCGGACCATCCTGACAATCTTACCGCCCCGTTCATTAACGTCTCTCCTCATCCAATGGTCTAATCCACACCACGGAAATGGGCATACGATTATCCCAGGTATCATTAAACCATACACCCTCCTGTATCATGCACGTAAAGATGCAAACCTCCTTCCGTCTCTGCAATGGTTAGCCTTTGACCCAGAGATGAGCGCTGAGCTTTGGCATCATGGGCGGACGCGGAGGGAGTACCTTCATCTCTACCTATAGAACTGTTCGTCCTGCTAGAGTTGTCTATTTTGATGGCATGAGCGCCGCTTTAAGCGACTTGGGATGGCTCAATAGCTAGGAGGTTTTCCTTGCCGCGAGAGGCAAGGCTAACGAATTGGACCAGTATCCGTCGTGAGACGAATACACTCGTATACCAAGCTCTGCAAATGGGCGGAGACAGTTGATCTGGACGGGTACTAATGTTTCTCGACATGTAGCGAAATTATGTGGTGTGATTTCGACTCGCCCATCATTCAACCTGTGAGTCATCTGAATATCACGGCGTGCTTCTGCAGATGAGTATTGAGTCGGTCTTGGAGCGATGTTGCGGGAACTATGCGGCATTATCCGTTGAGAGCATGGATGATAGCATCTCGTCGCAAGACTTGTTGGGACTGATCAATCTGTGGGGAGCGCGTGTAGATCTGCTCATGCATGGTCTCGTACCCAAACGTGTCGAAGACACCTCATGCAGTAGTTGGACTGGACAGAGTGGCGCCGATGTGCTGAAGTTTGCCCCTTGGGCGTATGTACATTTGTTTTGTCCATAGAGCAGAGGCTGATGGTTCACTGGGTTCAGAGCATATGCAGTATACCTATGTGGCCACTGACCGATTTTAGGCGGGAACGACCTAATGACGGGGGTGCTGAGGAACCAGAGGACGCGTGGAAGCCGCGGTGTTTCAGCTTACTACCCGGCCGCGGGCCGTTCTCTTCGTTTGTCGATGTGCTAGACATTGGAGATTTCTGAGGGGTCAGTGATCTTACGAAAGATTGGGATTGATCTCGAATTCATCCGGTCAACGTGGATTTTAGTGAAACGTTAGCATGAAAGAGTGTATAATATGGTGCAATGTGTTACTGGGTAAGAGGCCTCTGTTAGGCCTTGTATCTTAGCTTGTTGCTGCTCGGTTGGTCTTGTCAAGACTGATCGATGTCCGTATGCACACATGATATTGGGAACCACTGGGATATGGCTAACTGGTTGGAATCATGTTCTGAGATTCTGACAACGTGAGTGCGCAGTCATGCCAGTCCCGCACAGAACGCCCAAAGATCTGTGAGATGTATCGCGCGAGAAGCCTGCACTGCGGTTAGAATTTGGTCGGCCGGAAACATCGACCTCGAATATCAGAGCCGGGATCAAAGCGGCACGGAAATGCGAATCTTTCGTGCTGAATAGTAAAATTCAAAAGGGAATTTCCTGCCAGTCATTGGTCCGGCCCAGCTGGCACCAGGCGGCAGTGATGCACCAATGTATGTGCGCGGGACGCGGCGGCATGATTCTCAGTAGGACGCGACGCGATCCTGACTAAGCAGAGCGCGTGCATTCAGTTGCGCCACATTCAGTTGCGCCACACTCATCCCAGTGCTCAGTGCTAGCCTTCATCACAGTATTTACACGGTGAGCTCAACTTGGAACAAAAAGGCATTGTTATCTGTGAAGAAAATTCTAGCGCGCCCCGATAAAGTCCGTATGACTCGGTGTGTGACTTTTGTGGACGTTTGGTTGATGTTCGCCTCGTTGCGATGTCAGTATCAGCCCGCGGAGCGGTTGTACTCTCAGACACGTGTAATTGTCTTTCCCGGCCGTATGTAATCGATGGGGAAGCCATACCAGCCGTCCTGCTCTACGGTTTCATCAGAATGGGTGAGTAGCCAGTCACTCCGCCCAGGTCTCATAAACCTCTCGAGACTCAGTCTGACACTCCTGTCGTTCACAAGGCGACTCGAGATGTCTCGCATCTGAGCGAGACACTTCCTACCAGTCGACAGACAGTTCTTGCCGATCTGGGCCATGCGGTTCCCGAAGTCTCTGTCGCATTTTTCTTCGAGAGCGTCTGTCCACGGATATCTTCGCGGGACGATTTGCTTGTCGACAAAGTCTTATCGAGACTGACGACGGGTTCGAACACGATCATCGATGATGAGACTGGCCGATGGATGGATTTCGTAGTCTCTCCAAGCGAGTCATCTCAACGCGAGGATCTGACGTTCAAGCCTCTGGAGGATTTGATTAAAGTTATTGGAGATGCTGCCGTGAATGAAGACCCCGATTTTACACCTCATTTCGTGTTCGAGAATTCGCCTTACGTATCACCTGCGTCGGACCATTGGAACTCATCTTCACGCCCCGACGGATACTTTCGTGTTCGTGGCTCAGAGCAAGAGGGGGAGCAGATGGCGCCTCATTGGAAGGACATTGCATTGAGTGCAGAATACAAGAAATACACTTTGAAGGAGACAAGGGACGACGTGAGTGTAGCATGCTTGCCTAGTACAGTGACCAGATACTATTCTATAGGTAGTGGCTAAGGTGATCTGGGGGATGCGCCACTCAATGAGGGAAGATCCACGGAGACGATTTACGTTTGGGCTGACGATAGAAGATTCAGAAACGCGGCTGTGGTATGCGAGTCGGGCAGACGTGATGGTGACGGAAGCATTTGACTTCTTGAAGGTATGTAAAGGCTGATGATAGTCTTCCTTGGTTATACGCCAATAACGCTTTACACAGGACTATAGAAGTCTTGTTCACCTAGTATTAGCATTCTTGAGCGCCGATTTTCAGGATGTCGGATATGATCTTACGATGGCGGCCCTCTTGGACGACAAGGGTAATGCTCTGCTCGACCCCGATAACAAGCCTCGATTTGACATCACCGTGCATGCGGAGGATGGCTCGGAGACTATCTTCCGTACGATGCGTCTTATTTCTTTCATTGGTACAGCAGCATTGCAGGGGCGGGGTACACGGGTGTGGGAGGCAAGACGAGTCAAAGCTGGCAAGGAGAGTGGTGATCCTGTCGTCCTGAAGGACTGCTGGGTCGACTCCGATCGGTTTCGAGAAGGCACAGTCATGAAGATGATTCGACAATCTGCTGCCAACGACGAGGGCCGCAAGGTGCTCGACGACCACCTCTTGACTGTAGCTTGTTCTGGCGATGTACATGTGAATAGTGGTGTGGACGACCATACACGGGACTTGATGACTAAAGGCAAGGAGATTTCACTCAAATCTGGAAATTTTTCGCTGCGAGTACGCTCGGATAAGTCAACGCAGAAAACCACCGCAAGTACCAGCCAGAGTGATCGCCGTGCGGGTACCCAGAAAGGATCGGGCAGGAAGGAGAGTTCTGACATGAAGCGCGGGTCAAATACCGCGCCGAAGGGTAGTGCGGGTCATCATCGTGATGGCGAGCCACCACGTCAAGACAACCCTCGCCGATACTATCAATATCACCCGAAAGCTCATTATCGCATTGTATTCGAGGAAGTCTGCAACGCTCTCTATCAGGAGACGTCGTTAATCCCAATCTTCAACTATCTCTCCCAGACAGCTTTAGGTATGGCTAGTATGTTACGCTATCATGCCCTGTGCTAATAAATTCTATGTGATTGATTAGTTCTGAAGTTTCTTCACGCAGCCGGTTGGGTGCACCGTGATCTCAGCACAGGTAACATACTCATCTTCGATGGAAAGGTGAAGCTGGCCGACTTTGAGTATGCGAAGCAGTTGGACGACCACTCCGACCCTCACGACATACGTGCTGTAAGTTGTTATATACTCCACGATTCGGCATAAATCTGAGGTGTTTTGACGTATCAGGGAACTGCTGACTTTACATCAATCGAAGTTGATCAGAAAGAGTACTTTTTCCGGCCGCAAATGGAGGAGGTAGATCCCGAGAAGATGTTTGCAATACTTAAAGCAGAGCGTGAGGGATCCCAGATTCTCCGGCAAAATACTCAGCCGGACGAAGTTGCATTTCGGTACAATCCTCTTCATGATTTTGAATCACTATGGTGGATTTCTGTTCATTGGTTATTCACGAAATCAGTTATCAAAATTGACCAGGACGTCCCTCCACCTCACGATCACCAGAAGCAACGATTATGGGCCGCACGCGTGTTTTATTCGCTCGGTCATAGACAATCTACTTTGAGCACCAATTCCTCTTTTCAATCTGCAATTGGCGGCCTATCCCCGGTCCTCAAACTCTTTGGGAGAACGGTGGAAATACTTAGGATGCAGCTCATAAGGCGCTATACCGCAGTAGAAGTGGACTTATCAAAGATACCCAGCCGCGTGGCAGCGGGCGACATACCTGGACATTTTATCTTGCTCTTCGGGGAACTTGGATGTCGTAAAGGAGATATTCTACTTGGTCACCTTCCGGATACCGACCCTGCTACGCCATCCGTGCAACCTGAGCCATCTGGCGTGCAGCCTCAACCTCCCGTGGGCCCCGCCCCTCCCAAAGAACAACCGAAACCAGAGGATCAAACCAAGCGTTCCAAGGGGACGCATCTATTCGGGGAGCCACATGCGGAGCAGCACTCTCGTGGGTCTCGCGTCAAGAAACTAGAAGGCACTCGGATGCAGACCCGTTCGATGACTGCCAACAAAAGAGCTGAAAACGCCATTGCGACAACTCGGTAGTTGTTCACCGAGCTGAGCAATTGCAAAGCTGATTTCTCCTCCCGCTCAAGTCCTGCATCATTTCTGTCGCAGTGCTTTATGCCTCTTTTAGACATCACGCTCACTTTCGATGCTATACATACTGCCGTGCTGGTCTACTGCGCGTTCAATGTCTGTTTACTGTCATATGCTCTGTTCTGCAATGTAAATATACACTTCGTACAGGCTGAAATTCTAACTCTTGAGTCACGACCGTTGGATCCTCGTATAGCCTGATTCAAAACCACTTACCATCAATGCGGAAGACATCCGAGGAGAGATTCTGTCATTGTGCATACGATATGGGCATGACTGACTGGCCATCAGACTCTTCACAGGACATGCTAGTCACGCAGCGGGTCATCTTGCCGGCCATGCTCAGGCCAAACTCTAAAGTCATGAAATGGCTTGGTGAGACAACTTCTCCGGTGTCTGATGTTCTTGATATCCACGGTATATCGCATCTGGGCTACATTACATGGTAAAAATGATGTCCAGTGATCTGAGATTTGGGTCATGCAGTTCCCAAGGCTCCGGTAATATACCCTCTAGAACATTTCCTCGTTCCCTGATGAGTATATTCGTGTTTGTGGACCGAGAAAGGACGTCCAGGATGCAGTGTGAAGTGGCAAAAACACGTATACCATCGCATACCACCATTTATCCAAAACCCAACCTTAGGTGCTGACTAGGTTTCCTACATATAAGTTATTTTTGTTAAGGAGTTTACCTACAAAAGACAAGTATCATGATCATGCACCGGCACGAAAATTTGATGGGGAGTCACCTTGCGCTAGTATTAGGGAAAATAACGCCTAAGTTCGCCGTTACGCAATATGAACATGTATGTTTAGCAATAAACAGGAATGACCCACAAGCTGCCAGTGGGATCATCATAGTGGGTATCTCAACTTTCGAGATCTCGACAGCGCGCAGTCACGGCCCTGTTGTACACATGCGAGAAGCCTCCGGCACTGCACTTGGCATTGACGAGCAAGGATAAATCGCCTCAAAGACATTATCGACATGTGCACATCTTTCCGGAGTCGATTTTCAGAACGATACAAACTTAAGAGCAGGATGCACCGCTGCCGCTTCGGTCCAAGCCTCCTCCAAGGTCCTCCAGCGCTCGTCAAACACGAGCATGTGCAGGACACGCGTTGGGTGAAGACGCGATCCTGACTAAGCAAGCACAATGTTGTTGCACAACACTCCCCATCCTGTCGCCACAGCATTGCACAGCCCAACTTAGAACAAAGGAATATCCTCGGTTGCATTTCATCGCCTTGTGAAGAACGTTGTAGAGCATCCGGATCAGGTTTGTATGACTCTCTGTGTGACATTTTGTGGCCGTTTGGCTGATCTCCGCCTCGTTGTGTGCTAGTATCAGCCACGGAGCTCTACACGTGCGGTTGCTCTGGCCACATTCCTGACTAGATATAAGCAATGGGGAAGCCATATCTGCCATCGTGCTCTACGACCTCATCGGAATGGGTGAGCAGCCAGTCACTCCGCCACGATCTCATAAGCCTCTTGAGACACAGTCTGATACTCCCTTCGTTCATAAGGCGACTCGCGACATCTCGCATTTAAGCGAGACGCTTCCTGCTAGTCGACAGACAGTCCTCGCTGATCTGGGCGACGCGGTGCCCGAAGTCTCTGTCGCATTCTTCTTCGAGAGTGTCTGTCCACGGATATCCTCGCAGGATGATTTACTTGTCGACAAGGTCTTGTCAAGGCTGACGACGGGTTCGAACAAGATTATCAATGATGAGACTGGTCGGTGGGCAGACTTCGTGATATCTCCCAGCGAGTCGTCGAAGCGCGAGGACCCAACATTCAAACCACTAGAAGACTTGATGAAGGCTATTGGAGATGCTGCTGTGGATGAAGATCCCGATTTTCAATTCAATTATGTATTTGAGAATTCCCCATCCATATCACCTGCATCAGACCACTGGAACTCCGCATCGCGCCCCGATGGATATTTTCGTGCCCGCAAATTGGGGAAGGCCCTTGCGCCGAATCCTCACTGGAAAGATATTGTATTGAGTGCAGAATATAAGAAGTATACTATGAACGAGACTAGAGATGACGTGCGTGCTGTATATTTAACTATTGTTTCTGGTAATCGATTGAATGCACCTTCATAGGTGGTAAGCAAGGTCATTTGGGGGATGCACCACTCCTTTCGGGAAGATCCGCGGAGGCGATTCACTTTCGGGCTGACAATTGAAGACTCGGAAATGCGGCTTTGGTATGCGAGTCGGGCAGATGTGATGGTTACACAAGCATTTGATTTCTTAACGGTATTATTTTGACGTGATTCATGCCCTCAGACAAAATGCTGACGATGTACATACAGGATCATAGAACCTTGATCCATTTGGCACTAGCATTTTTGAGTGCCGATGCTCAGGATGTTGGGTATGATCCCACCATGAAGGCCCTCGTCGATACCAAGGGCAATTCTCTGCTCGACGCTCAAGATAAGCCTCGATTCGACATCACAGTACATGCAGAAGATGGTACCGAGGTCATTTTCCGTACCACGCGCCTGCTTTCTTTCATCGGTACGGCTGCGTTGCAAGGACGTGGCACCCGCGTGTGGGAAGCCAAGAGGGTCGAGCACGGTCGGGAGAGTGGAGATTCCGTTGTGCTGAAAGATTGTTGGGTCGACTCCGACCGATTACGAGAAGGAACAATCATGAAGATGATCCGGGAGTCTAAAATCAGCGAAGAAGGACGGAGGGTTCTTGATGAGCATCTCCTGACAGTTGTCAGCCATGGGGATGTTCGCATGAGGGGCAATTTTGTTGACCACACTCGAGAGTTGATGACGCAAGGCAAGGAGATATCACTTAAGTCTGGTACCTTTTTGTTGCGGACGCGTCCAGTCAATGTGGCACAGGAGACAACAAATGGAACCACTCAAGACAATCGTCGTTCAGAGACTCAACGCGCATCGGGCAGTAAGCCAGGCTCCGGTCGCTCGGACGCGAAGCGCAGATCGAATACTGCGCCAAAGGGCGATGCGGGTCATCATCGTCATGACGAACAAGGGTCCGTAGTGGAGCATCATCAATACTACCATTATCATCCAAAAGCGCACTATCGGATCGTTTTTCAAGAAGTCTGCACTGCACTTCACTACGAAACATCGCTATTCCCCATCTTTGGATATCTTTCTCAGACTGCTACAGGTACGACCTTTGATTAGTTCCATATCTCGCATTATTGATGCGGGCTGTAATCATAATCAGTGCTACGGTTTTTGCACGAGGCCGGCTGGGTACACCGTGACTTAAGTACGGGGAACATTTTGATATACAATGGCAGAGTCAAACTGGCCGATTTTGAATACGCAAAGCGACTTGGTGCCGTGGCTTCACATGAGATTCGAACTGTGAGTGTTGATTTCTTCATTCTGCAATACGAACCCAATTTGACGCACCGATGGCATAGGGTACAGCTGATTTCATGGCCGTGGAAGTTGACCTCCAGAACTATTACTTCAAAGAGCGGCATTTGAACCTCGATATTTACAAGTTTGCAGCGGCGTATCCTGTCACCAGAGAGCAAAGCGTACTCCCTCCTGCTGAGTCGATGCCGGTTGCATTCCGATACAACCCCCTTCATGATTTCGAGTCGCTCTGGTGGATGTCCGTGTATTTCCTACTCAACAAAAAGATTCGACGTGTAGATCAAAAAAATCCTCCACCTCACCAATACGTTCAACAACGAATTCGGGCCGCGGAGATTTTCTATTCGTTGGCTAGTCGGAAGTCAGCTTTGAGCTGGGAGCCTGAATTTCAGTTTGTGATCGAGAGCTTATCTCCAAGCGTGCACAACATTGGTGAAGCTGCCAACGTGCTCAGGTCTTCCCTTGTGGCTCGTTACAGAGAGATAGAGAGAGATACTGAAAACATCGGTCATACGGCAGCAGGTACTATTCACGAGGACTTCGCTGTCATCTTTGGCGTGGTTGCGCGAACCCCTGGGGAAATTCTCATCGGCCCTCTCCCACGGAAAGGTTCTCGCAAAAAAGTTACTGGAAGCATTGAGCACCAGGCTGAGCAGTCTCGGGAACCAAAGAAGGCCCTGAGTCAGGGTTCCAAGGAGGGTGACGCCGCTCCCAACCCACTCGAGCGACCGCAGGCGCAGAGACTCGAGTCCGGTACGAGAATCAAGCGGATGGAAGGGCTTCCACCTCCCATGCAGACTCGTTCGAAAACCAGACAGCTTGCTGCAAGCGCAAAGGCGGACTTTGAAGGGACATGATTATCATCTCGCATCTCGCATCTCGCATCTGTACACACTTGATACATTTGACGCACGCTATTATGCTTATTTTTTATTTCCATCTCTTCGTAGAAAAATATTAGAATTCTCGCTTTAAATTGCCCAGGTCGTTTGCTGCCAACTGCAGTGTGTTACAGTCGACCTATCCTGCAGCTCTATTCAAATGCTGCTAGATGTCTACATGTCTACTTGCTGTCATGTATTTTGTCACGCCTTGCCTTGGAATGATGCTATCGTACTCTCGAGTACAGTTACCGAACGATTATGCAGCCCGATGTAATCGCCTAATCACTGCGGAAGATATTCGAAAAGCTCAAGCTATAGACACTGGGTAGGATGTTGACGTACGGCTGCAGCTGGCTAGCGTTATCAAGAATCTCGAGCATGTGCGTATATATATCCAGAAGCACGCAAGGGTACACAGGAGGTTCATCGTCGTATTGTCTTCCAGGAGGTCTACAGCGTTCTTCATCGCATCATTTATTCCAGTCTTCGAGTATCTTTCTCAGACAGCATTAGGTATGGCTAGTGTGCTGTGCTATCGAGTTAATAAGTACCCACAGACTCCATGTCGTTGATCGGTGTTGAAATTCCTTCACGAAGCCGGCTGAATGATCAATCCAAATCTCATGATGTTCGAACTGTAAATTTCTCCGTATTGTACTATTCGGCATTTTATACAATATGTATTTTGACGTATTAGGGCACCCCTGACTTCATCGCGATCGAAGTTGATTAACAAGAGTACTTCTTCAAGCCAAAAAAGGAGTACGTTCACCCAATGCAGATGCTCGCAAGACTTAGAGCAGAACGCGAGGGATTGCAGATTTCGCAGCAAGAAATTCAGCCGATCGAGATCGTATTCCGGCACAACCCCCCCGCTATACAATTACCAGAAACAGCGATCGTGGGCCGCACGCGTTTTTTATTCCCTAGGTTGTAGGCAATTTACATTGAGCCCTTCCGTTTTTGAATCTGCCATTGGTCAAATGTGCCCGGTTTTAATAATCTTTGGGGAAACACTGGAAATACTGACGACCGAACTCATAGGGCGTTATGCTGCGACAGAAGTGGACTTATCAAATGTGCCCGGCCGCGCGGCGGGGGGCGACGTACCCGAACAACTGTAGATCGAGGAAGGAGCTAGAGTCTCACTGGAAGGACGTTATTCTAAGTGGTATGAAGTAGCGAAGACACGCATACCATCATATACCACCATTCAGCCAAAACTAAATCTCGGGTGCTGATTAGATCTCCTATAGCTGGATTTTGTTGAGAACTTCACCCACAAAAAAAAGTATCATGAGCATGTATTGGGACGAGGTCTTGATGCAGAGTCGCCTTGGAATAACATTATGGAAATTACATCCTGACTTTGCCATTGCACAATATTAATCTGCGTGTTTTTGGCAATGAACAGCCAAGGTCCAAGAGCTGGGAGAATCATAGTGGATGTTTTAACTTTCGAGATCCTGACAACGCGCGCCGTATACGTGCGACAAGCCTCCGGCACCGCACTTAAAATTGGCCAACGAGTACGCGTCGCTTCAAAGACACTACCGATACGTATGTATCGCTACGGAGTCGATTTTCAGTACGATACAAACCAAGTTGAAAAACAGGACTGGGGAGCGACGAGCGGCGAGCGCTCGTCGAACACGTGCACGTGCAGAACACGCGTTGGGCAAGGACGCGATCCTGACTAAGCACGGTGTTGTTGCGCCACTCTCCCCATCCTGCCGCCACAGGTGACAGCACTCGCAGAGCCCAACTGGGACAACACAAGTTCCTAGGGTGTTCCATATAAGCTTGTGAAGGGCATTACAGTGCGTCCAACTAGAATTCGATCACTCAGCGTGTGAGTCTTTGTGGCCGTCTAGTCGATATTAGCCTTGTCGTACACCAGTATTGGCCACGCAGCAGTCCAAATTTACACGTGCAATTTTTCTGGCCACACAATTCACTAGTATATAAACGATGAAGAAGCCATATCAGCCGTCATCTTCTACGGCCTCATCACAATGGGTGAGCAGCCAGTCACTCCGCCCAGGTCTCATAAACCTCTTAGGGCTTGGTCTAGCATTCCCTTCCTTCGCAAGGTTAACCATGACATATCGCACCTGAGCGAGACACTTCCTACTAGTCAACAGACAGTCCTTGCTGATATAGGCTATGTGATTCCCGAAGTTCCTGTCGCATTCTGCTTCGAAAATATCTGTCCACGGATATCCTCACGAGACGATTCGCTTGTCGACAAGGTTTTGTCAAGATTGACAACGGGCTCGAACAAGATTATTGACGCTGAGACTGGCCGATGGGCAGATTTCGTGATCTCCCCACGCGAATTTTCGAAGCGCGAGGATCCAACGTCCAACCCTTTAGATAATTTGATCAAGGCTATTGGGGATGCTGCCGCTAACGAAGACCCCAGTTTCGACCTCAATTTTGTTTTTGAAAATTCACCCTATGTATCACCGGCATCTGACCACTGGAACTCGACTTCGCGCCCCGACGGATACTTTCGTGTTCGTGACCCAGAGCGGGAGAGGAAGCAGACGGCGCCTCATTGGAAGGACATCGCATTGAGTGCAGAATACAAGAGATACACTTTGGAGGAGACAAGGGACGACGTGAGTGTAGCATGCTTGCCTAGTATTTACAGTGACCAGATACTATCCTATAGGTAGTGGCTAAGGTGATCTGGGGGATGCAT